ACCTCATCAACATTATAGAGATGGGATTTACAACACACAGCAAAATCACATCAGATGACAAAATGGTGAACAGTCACACAATACTGGGAATCATGGCCTAGCCAAGTTGACACATATTTTGGGGGGACATAATTCAATCCATGACAAATGGGCATAGAGATTTAATGCTGTCTGTAAAACTAGAAAACCAAACCTGTTGCCATGGAGTTCATTCCGACTCATAGCAACCCTATAGGACAGAGTGGAACTGCCCCATAGGATTTCCGAGGAGCAACCAGTAGATTCAAACTGCTAATCTTTTGTTAGCAGCTGAATGCTTAAGCACTGTGCCAACAGAGCTAAGCACCTCCATGTTCATTTCTGGTGAGTGGTCAAATAAATCATGGGACAGCCAAGTGTGCATATACAAAAATCATAAAGAACGACCCTCAATGACATGTTCTAAAGTGTTTGCAAGAGCAGACTATAAAGTGAAATATATAGTATGACTCTAAAGTAATTATTTAAGTGTATATGGCTCTTCTTTCTATATGTGATTCTCTTCTCTCTAGGCTGTATTATCAACCACAGGGGCTGTCAACCACCAGCTCTGTAGTAATAACTCCTCATTTCATATCTTTCCTCCCCCTTTCCCTCAAGTCCCTCTTCTGAGCTCCAACCCTGTATCACCATGGACCTACTCTACTTCTCTTCTTGGAGGGCCAAAAAAACAACAACAACAAAAAAAAAACTCATAATCTCCACTCCACCTCCGCTCCTCAAAATAGTCCTCCTCTCCCATTCCCCATCTCAGTAACCCATACTTCTGCCTACCTACTTCTGCAGGTCAAAAACCTGACTTCCCATCAGTCATACACCAACTCCTGTTGATTCATCCTCCAAAATACGTCTAGAATCTATATGATGGCCACCACCACCTTTTCCCACCCACCGTCTTCTTGCACCTGAACTTCTGCAGGAGCTGCCTAACTTGCCCCCCTCCAGGCCCTGCTCCACACAGATGCCAGAGTCATCTTTGTAGAGGGCAGATCTGACCATTCCTGACCTCACCCAGAACCCCTCAGAGGCCAAGTTACAGGTGTGATCTGGTCCCTGCCTACCTCAGCAGTGTCCTTCCTGTCACTGTTCCTCTTCTGCCACACTCCAGGCTCTTTCTGTTCTTCTGGTGCATGATGCCTTCCACTCCCTAGAGCCTTCACTCATGCCGTTCCCCTCTGTGGGATGCTCTTCCTCTCACTCTTCACCTAGATAATGTGTACTAATCCTTGGTTCTCAGCTAAAATGTCACTTGCCAACCTTGGCCAGGCCCTGGTAGTCACTCCAGCACCCTGCAATCTCCCCTGAAGCCCTGAGCACTGTGGTAACTACTTAGTTATTAGATTGTAAGCTCCTTGAAGGCAAGGACCATAGTGACTTGTTCACTGATGTATCTGCAGCACCTAGTCAGTGCCTGGCACGTAATAGTGACAAATGTGTAAATATTTATCAGTGACTTAGATAAATATTGATAGCATGTTCTTTAAAATGTTGACAGTGATTGTCTGGGTGGTGGAATTATGGGTGACTTGCTTGGTTCTTGGTGCTTTTCTGTGCTTTCTATTTTGTCTCCAACCAAAAAGGCAGTAACTGTTATTTTGTCAAAGAGTTGGGGAGCTGGGGCTGAGTCTCCTCTGCACCAGCGTCTGGACTCACCTCTGCCTCTCCCCACAGGCTCGAGAATGATGCGACAGGCATGATGGAGGTCGAGTCCTCCTACTCGGACTTCATCTCCTGTGACCGAACAGGCCGTCGGAACGCAGTGCCTGACATCCAGGGAGACTCCGAGGCTGTGAGCGTGAGGAAGCTGGCTGGAGACATGGGCGAGCTGACTCTCGAGGGGGCAGGTCAGAGCCAATGGGTCTGTGCACCCCTCCACGTGAGAGGTGACTGCTGGCTTCCAAAACTGGCTGCCAGGTCCAAAACTGCCTACTCTCCTTCTTGGAGAAGATGCTACATTGAAATCAGACCCCAGTCCTACAGTCAGTGGCTGAGTCCAGCCAAACATTAGGCTGGAGGGTGCCCAGGGCCCGGTGCGAAGGAGGGTATCAGATCACAAGGACTCCTCAGCTGGTCATCCTGGGCTCCTCCCTCCCCCCACCCACTCAGTCCACCTGCACGTCCAGTCAGTTCTGCCTCCAAGATCCATGATAGGGCCTTCACTTCTTTTCACCCCGCAGCCACATCCTTAGTTCTCCCCTGGCCGACGACGTGGTCTCCTCCTGCTCTCCCTGCACCCACTCCTGCCCTCCTGTCTTGCCTACACCACAGCCAGCAGGATTTGTTTAAACCGTCCTGTCCTGGCATGGTTCTCTAAGATCTCCAGTGGTATCACACCCAGAGTAAAGCCACCCTCGTCTCAGTGCCCTCCAGTAGTCCTGATACATGACCAGGTCCTATCTACCCCTTGGGCCCCCTTCTCCACTCCCCCCTCACCTTCCCCCTGTAGCCACACCCCTTTGGGCTGTTCCTCAGTCAGGGCATTCATACCCCCTCAGGGCCTTTTACCTCCCATTTTCCTCTGCCTAGAACATCTCTCAGCTAGTCCTGTGTGGCTGCCGCCTCTGCACTCTCCAGGCCTGAGCGCAGACACCAGGCCCTCAGAGGGGCCTTTCCTGATGGCTGAATTGCCCCTGCCCCAATCATCTGACTCATATCACTCTTGAACAAGGGGTGTCCCGTTCTGCCTCCCACAGAGCAGGTGCACAGGGGCCACAGGCTGTATGAACAAACAGAGGAAACATAGCATCTGCCGCCCCATGTGTGGCCTGGGATACCCCTCCCTCCATCTGTCTTTTGTCCTTTTCTAGGCCCAAACCCACTGGCCAGCCCTAGGCCCCTCCTCTAACAAGCCCTCCCTGGTCCCCCTACACTGACAAGGCCCTCTCCACCATGTCCCATGGCACGATGGAGGCTGTGTCTCTGTCACATCACTTCCTATAGCACATTGCAGCTGCCAGGCTCTGTGTCTCTCCTCCACTGAGGCAGTCCTTGTTGAGCCACGACCCTGTCTTCCCCCTATGTGGCCCCAGCCGAGAGCCTTTGGTCCCTGCTGGCCAGGGTGACCTATGAGCTTCCTCAGAGCAGACTTCATGGGAGCATGGAACCATCCTCTGAGGTCCAGAGAAGTTGGGTGGTGATCAGGGTCACCCAGCAGGATCACGTTGATAGCATGGGAACTTAGCTTCGAGAGAGAGAGCCCCCTGGAAGCCCCAACTTTACCCCACTGCGAAGTATTCAGTGTTGGAGGGGTCTGTGAGCCCTCCCTTGTTATGTGGCCCAAACGCCTTACCAGCCACAGGTGCCCCCACGGGCCTCACCCTGCTGCCCCCTCTCCAGCCTCAGCTCTCCTCTTAGTCCCCTAGTGCCCTGTGAGTGATAGGCCCTAACCACTGCTCCCTCTGTTCTCTCCTCCCTGCTCCCTGCCTGACTCCTCACTCTTAGTGGCCCAGACACCTGCTGAGCCGAGAAGCCTTCCCTGACAGTGGCCCGCCCTCTCAGACCGGGAAACACCTCTTCTCTGCTGCTTCTGTAGTCCCACAGTGCCCTTCCTCCAGACAGGGCTTCTCCAGCACCTGGTCTGTGTCGGTGCTCACAGTGCCTGGCACCGTTTGGCACGTGATAGAGGAGCCCAGTCAATGGCTGTTCACTGACTGACTGGATAACCAAAATGTCCAGCTGCCATGCTGGGCATGATGCCCACAGGCGTGCTCACTTACTGTCTCTTTCTGTCTGTCTGTCTCTCTGTCTGTCTGTCTTTTTGCTTCTCTGTCTCTCTCAGCTTCTGTATCCTTATCATCGGCTCTGGGAAACTGTCTCTGCCTCCCTCTGCCTCAGCAGTTGTAGCCGCTCGTCCGTGCACCCAGGCCCTACAGACACGCTGTTGCCTGTCTGAGAATCCCTAAGGTGTCTGGTCCTCCAGGCGCATCACATTTGCCTGCCGGGGAACTGGCATTTAAAAGGAGGACCCGAGGAAAGAACAGTGCTCACCACAAAGAAGTGAAGCACTAATGGTGGAATCCAGGTGGAGGAGGCTGGCAGGAGACCCCACAGTTAGCAGTTCCCGCAGGCAGGTCTCAGCCTGGCTCAGTCCAGGGAACTCACTGAGGGAGTGGGAATAGAGTTCCAGGTGCCCCAGAGATTCTGATCCAGCAGGCCTGGGAGGCTGCGTTTGCTTGAAGCTTCCTAATGGACAGTGCACAGCCAGGGTGGGGAAAGGGGAGAAGGCCTGGCCTGTGGGGGGGCCCCCCGGGTATTCATTAACATTCCTGGCACGTTGTATGCAAAGCTTTGTCTTTCCCCTATTTCCTCAAGCAGGGAGCACAGTGTCTGAGAATGAGAGCTACACTGTGGGCAGGATGGGCAGAAATGTGTGCGTGCTGCCCAGAGTTGGGTCACCACAGACACTTGCTAATCGTGCTTGGAAAGTGACCCCAGGGAGTCCCGAGGGTGCTGTTTGGAGAGGAAAGGTCTCAAGGACCTTCTCCGTGGGCCGAAGGAGAGGCCAGGGCTGGCACAGAAGAGCATTCCTCTTGGCAGAGCCATGCCCATGTGCCAGCGGAGCATACGGGTACCCTGCGCTTGCCCATTGCCACCCACACCGATCACCACCCGGGGTAGGGGCCTTGCTCGCCATGTAGATCAGGAAGCAGAGGCTCCAAGAGATGAGAGATGATCTGACTCCCCTGAGGTCCCACAGGAAGTGAATGGCAAGGCCATTACTGGGGAATTTAAAGAGACAGTGTCCCTTCTTGCAGGGCCAGGAGACTCGGGGCCCAATAGGGCATCACAGGCTGGAAAATTTGCCCAAGCACAGTCTGGTTTGTCAGCCTCCTGGAGGGCCAGAAGGCCCCTGTGGGACCAAGCATTTGCTGCAGGTACCACCCCAGGAGAAGAGGGAGCCTGGGGACAGGTGTGGAGGGTCGATCAGGTGCAGACTTTAGCTTCAGACGTGCAAGTTCTGTCCGCACTGCTCGCTACTACTAACCCCGCTTCCTAAGACTGTTAAGCGGACACAGTGAGGTAATGTTGATACAGGTCTTTATAACCCTGGAGAGGGCAGTTTATTGGAAGAACCTGAATCTAGTGGAAGGGCCATGGGCTCTGGTGGCAGGCAGGGCCCCTCTGCTTGATTCTAGGCAAGTCCGTTCTCACTGAGCCTCAGTTTCCTCATCCGTATCACGACCCTAATCACACTCCAGGGTTGCTGTTGGATTGCAGGGAAAAGGGCCTGTTCAGTTTGCAGCCCCTGGAGCTCAGCACAGGGTGCTGGTTCTCATTCACGGAAAGGGCTGAGCCTGCAGGAGGCAAGCACGGCAGCAGGGCTGGTCGAGTGAGGGCTAGATTTGAACCCGGGCCCTGGGTGAGCTGGCGACATCGTACGGGTGTCACCAGAGTGTAAGAACCACACCATTCACTGAACTCAGCCCACAGGTCAGGGCGGTGCAGGGCACCCTGTGGGCAGTGGCCCGATTATCACTCAGCCCAATAAGGGCCCTAAAACTGGAGGGCCTGGGAGCAAGCACGGTGCTGTCCTCACCCCGCACGGCTGCTCCAGTGGCTGGCAGGGCCATGCCTGTCGCATCTCCCACGGCAGAGCTTGCGAGAACCTGGGTCAGGGGACCCAGGCTTATGCCCCGCCTTACTGGGCAAGTCACTCCACCCTTTGAGCCTGGCACAGGCCCTCTCCTCCACCCCTGCTTCTCACCTAGGTTTCCAGCCAGATGGGGTTGGCGAGAAGGGTGGAGGCTGCCAGCAGCCCTGTGACTGACTCCCCCCTCCTCAATTCCAGGATGCACTGTCAGCACCCCCAAGCCCTCCCCCTGGGACCTCAAGGACATAGCACACTGAAGCAGCCACTGGGCTCCTTCCAGTTCCAGCCCCTGATGCAGGCCATACCCTGGCACTGCCCTGAGCTGGCCTTGTTCAATGCCCTTGTCTGTCTTAGAAGAACAATGGCCTCCACTGAGCTCCTGTTAGGTGCTGGGGACTTAACAGTTGCCCTCGCCCTCTGGGGAACCTGCACGAGCCTCCTTGTCCTTAGCCGCCTCTCCCCTGGTGCTTTAGCACCATCGAAGACCCTCACCTTTGAGCTGTAAATGTAGTAGTGACACTGCAGGTATGTGTGTGTAAAATTAAAATGTCACAGACCAGGCTAAAGTTCCCTTTGGCAGCCCAGTCTAGCTGCTGTCCTGCCCCCAGGGCTGACCCACCATTTATCAATTTGTTGGGCCCTGCCAGCCCTCCTC